AAAGTCTATTATTTTTTATTTTACTTTCTGCCTGTCACTGACTTACTATATTTACATCAGCTTTAAAATTTTCTTTTTCATCAGTTTTCTTTGTGAAACACTTTCTTAGTAGGTAAAACACAAACATAAATAGCTACAGTGAGAGAATTGTGAATTGGCTTGAAGAGGGTGCTGCAAAAGGGAAAAGGCAATGCAGGAATACAGATCATGTGCAGGAACAGGCACGTGCTGTCCAAAGAGCACAAAAGCTCATAGAAAATGACCTTAACAGCTGAATTTAGAACAAAAAACCAGCAAACAACAGCAAATGATGATCAGATAAGATGAAACACTCAAAGGTTCTTGGAGGGTTTCATCTGAAGACCATTTCTGCTGAAAGCAAGTAAAAGTCCACACCTGCCCACTGTTCATTTCTGCCTGTGCATGGCCCTGAGAGGTTGGCTGGTGCACTTTCTGCTGAGCACCATCCAGTGAACAGAGTGGATAAAAATACAACCTTCTTTTGCCTGAGTTATTTTTTCCCCAATCTGCTGCCTCCACTTGGTCTCCATGGTTACACAAATACTTCTAGTGGTACCTTTGCTCCTGCAATGCAAAGAAGGGTTAGGGAGAATGGAGAAGCCAGCAGAGGGCTGCTGAAGCTGCCACTGCTGCAGAAAGGGAAAGCTCATCACAGGATGCTCTGAGATTTCACAAGCCTTGCCTTTCCAGCAGTGTGATTAAAGCAGTGCCCAGCCCAGTGCCCTGTGCAGCAGTGGCAGCAGTGGCAGCAGTTTGTGATGGAGCAGTGTCACCCTTTCCTCCAGCAGTGCCCCAGTGCAGCAGTGGCAGCAGTTTGTGATGGAGCAGTGTCACCCTTTCCTCCAGCAGTGCCCCAGGGCAGTGCAGGGGATGCAGGGCAGGGCAGACAGCAGGGATTTGGCTCTGCTGCCACAGGAAAGCCATGGAACACTGAGGCCATTTTCCAGGAGACAGATCCTGAAAACTGAGCTGACTGGAGCTGGCAGAGAGCTCATGCAGAAAATGTAGTGATGGAGAGGCCAGGAAGGAGAAGGTGCTATTTGTAGTTTGGTGCAAAAGACTCCAAAGAACAGAATGGACAGTGCCATGATTTCTCACTTTTTCTTATAGTAAAAAATGGATGAACTACACAGATTCAGCTCCTCTCCAGCACCAGAGTGCACCTGGAGGCCAATCTACACCTATTTCTTACCAAAAACAACACTAATGTACCTCTGGGGTAACTGCCAATGCCAGTGACATGCTTCTAAAGAGAACCTCTCATCTCTTGTTTTTTGAACTATTATAGCAGTCCTTTGGACCTATATGCAGAATTGCTTCAGAGTTTGTCTAACATCAGACTTTTAGCTCCAAACTGGTTTTCTGTGATACTTCTCAAATCTGAAAGGTCTCCCTGCAGCATGCCAACCCTTAGCATGACACAATGACTGCTATCAAATATAAATATAGAAATAAATAGAGATTAGAGCACACAAACATCCTTTATGTATTTGAACAAGGATACATTATTATATCAGTTCATGAAAATTGTATTTAAATGCAATGTATATATGTATTTATTATTAAAAATTGCATTTCATGTAGGTTAATAGATGAAAAAGATATAAAGAAAAGATAATGAACTAATCTCAACCTATTTTTTCCCCTTCCTCAGTCATGAAGAGTGCTCCTCATTCCTTTAGCATCCCCTCAGTGGCAATAAAATGGACCTTGCTTCCAATATTTGATCATTACCGAGAAGTCCCCAGTGCTCAAGCCCATCAAAAAGTGAAGAAATGCCCAGAGTGACTCCTATGAGATCATTTCCTCCCAGTGAAGAGCAATTAATGGATTGCAAGTCATGACTGGCATTCCTGGGAACCACAAAATCAGGTGGGTGGGATCCAAGTGGTAAGAGATCTCCTGTGCTCCAGAGCACAGGAAAGACTGGATTTCACCACTGCTGCCCTCCCTGCCTCACACTGACAGTCCCACTGCTCCCCTCTGTTCACTGCCTTACAATACTGTGATATGGGTGCTCTCATTTTCTAACTGTACTTTCAAATACCGAAAAGATTGACTGGGAAAATGTTTGTCAGGTAATCAGTCATTTTTACTATGCATCCTTCAGTGTTCATGGACCTTTCCAGGCTATTACACACTTCAAAGAAGCTTATGATTACCTCCTCAGGAGCTGGAGAAAAAGCATGAGATCATTCTCTACTACCTAATTCATTCAAATGGAGTTAACTCATTTTTATAACATCTGCTAAACTGTTTGTCCCAAAAGCAAGAATACACTTTTACTTTTGCAAGAATACACTTCTACTTTTGGTAATGCATGCCTGCAAATGAAAATTACTTCTGCTGTGGAATTTTCTACAGGCCTTGCTAGATGAGGGATTTATGGCAGTCCAGACCCAACTGCACCAATGCAACGCGCACTGTGTCCACAGAATGTAACTCCTGGTGTTTAAAAATTCTGAGAGTTGAATCGGGCATCATTAAACTGGAGGTCAAACTACATCATTATTGTATTTTCTTGCACATTTGTCTGCAAAACAGCTTCTGCAGCCACTTACCTTAATGAGGCAGCCAGGAAAGCTGCCCAGTGTGTGCCACTGGGAGCAGAGACTGAGCCCTGGCGAGGTGGCCACGGGCACCTTTGGGCCACTCTTGCCCTGCACCCATCCAGCCTCTGATCCTCTCCCTCTCTCAGAGGCTGTGGAAGTGCAGGATATCCTTGTACTCATTTCTGGTACATTTTTCTGAAAATACTGCTATGATGACAGTCACAAGTGGTGGAATGCTGAATAAACATTCTCTGAGGAATTTTAAAGAGGTTTAAACTGTATTAAAAGCAAAAGCATATCTTGGCAGTCAAGCTACCTGTCCACATAAGAAAGGTGGAGATCTAAGCAGCAAAGCTGTGCTGGAGACAGTTCAATCCAACTCGGTTAAGCCAGATACTGACACAGCAGCCAGTGCTCACAGCGCTTGTTCCAACCTGCTTTCCAGCAAGCCTTGCTGCCTGCTCTCCTGGGAATTGCCTTGCCCCACCTCACTTCAGCAAGCCATCCACCCTTCCTCCTCTCTGCAGAGAGCTGGAATTCCCTGCCTACACTCCCATGTATGGAGGAGGGGCAATTTCTGGTGGCATCTTACTATTCACCCCATTTTCCCCCTAAATGTCACTTGGCTGGAGTGCCACCCTTGGCACGAGATGCCAGCACGGGCCCCACACCTTATCCCAGACAGAGCCCATGGATTTGAAGTCTCAGACTGACAATACCCAAAAGTTTTGCATGTGTTCTCCAAAGAACCAAGAGCATTTCCCTGCACAGGAGCCTGCAAAGACCCCAGGGTGGGGTGCATGAGAGCAGCAAGGCAGCACTGCAAAGCAGAGTGCCAGGCACTGTTGTGTTGATGTGTTTTTCAGGAGCCATGCTTAGAGGAACACTTGGCATTTATCCTTCAGGCAGTGTGAGCCCAGCCCACACAAAAAACCTGTGCCAGCTCAAGGCACTGCAGTCTCCCCACTCCTCGTCTCTCCCCACGAGTCCCTGGTGTTCCCTGGGTGCAGAACCTGCAGCCCCACCACAGCCCCTTGGCTCCCCTCCAGGCACGAAATCCTGGCCCGGCCTTGCCAGCTCTCAATGTCAAATACAATATAAGAACCTCAAGAGTCTCTATTGAACACCAGTTCCTACGGATTTATAAAAATTTATGTGAGATCGATCTATCTATCTATCTATCTCTATCTATCTATCTATCTATCTATCTATCTATCTATCTATCTATCTATCTATCTATCCATCTATCATCTTATCTATCTTGCTCTACCTGTGAAGGCAAAGGGAATTAATACAGAAAATCAGATAAGACTGTCAATTTCAACGTTGAAATTGTATAACAGCATTGCACTACAATCTTTCTGTGAGTTTTTAAATATCATTGATCCTCTCCCTATCAAGTCCCTCTTTAAAAGGCTTTCATTCTATCATCTTTTAATGGCTTTTTTGATAGTATCGTCTATATAGGCTTTTAAAAATACCATATGTCACAGGATTGTAATATAAAGCACGTATAAACAGCACATAAAAAGCAGAATTTAGAAGACAATCACACTCTAAAAGCCATAAATTCAGTGTAAAACCTCATTAATTGTGCAACCAACTTTAGCATATCTTCTGGGTATATAAATTGATTCTTAGTGTCAGAAAATGGTCTGATAACACTTGCAAGATTGGGAAGTTTCATCCATGAACATATAAGGACTTGAAATGAAAGCTGAAAAAAGACTTAGTATCTCCATGGTATCCAGAACTGGATCTGGATAAAACTTCCCAAACTGTGGGAGGAAAAAGAACTAACTTTGCTACCATGGAAACAGAACAGTGCAATATAACTGGCTGTTACTTGTCTGCCTTTACAAGACCAATTGCTAAAATGTTAAAGCCTTCAATAACATGGGTAGTCTTGTTTCCACCTGAGAAGTAAATCTGCAGAAAGGAGCAAGAACAAGCTCACCAAACAAGGGGGAGCAGCCCAGGAATGATAGGCATTTCTAGGAAAAGCAGGTGATTAGAAAGGAGAAAGAAAGAGGAAGATAAAGAAGGAAGATATCCTGGTGCATGAAGGAAGAGGCAAGGAAGAGTTTGGTTTGATTAGTGAGGCAGAAAAAAAGACCCTTAAAATAAAGGGCTGGATCTTGGCCATGCTAAAATAAACTTTATGTATAAATTGGGTAGCAAATCCTGGATTGGTGTTACCACTTCTAGAAACCACGCACTTCTTTAATTTCTTAACTTACTTTTCCTTTGCTCTTCGCTGGAAAACGCTGCCCTCTTTGGATGCGTCCAAAGCACCCAACAGTTACCACCGCCTGCATTTCCCTGGCAGTTTGTGAGGTTTTAAGCCACAGTGTTTTACTTTACTGGGAGCATTCTTTCTCCACACTAGACAAACGTCCAGGCTGCAAAATGCTGCGTGTCGTCCTCATGGAATACCTGCCCTCCCCATCTGCCCTCACAGCCCTCACGGCCCCTGAGGGCACAGGCGGCCATCAAACCTCCCCTCAGGCGGCCATCGGGCCTCTCGTCTCCCTCAGGAGCCGAAGGTCTCCACAGGATGTCACCGGTGTTACGGTGCAGCTTTTTGAGGAAGGATGTGAACGTTCAGAGTCCTTTACTGTGAAAAAATGCGTATTTTATGATTGGCTTTTCGCAAATATTAAAATGAATATTATATGTGTTGTGTTAGAAAGTAATGCTGTATTAATTCTCTTAAGTGGTGTGTTAAATACAGTTTTAGGTTATAAAAATGTTAAAATAGAAACTGTGCTATGTAGGATTTCTTTTTTTTTTTTAAAGAAGGGACTTGCAGCAAGATAGCAGTCACAGGACACCTAAACCTTTCAGAGAAAAGTAATTTATTGCCCTCTTATCAGAAGAAACTAACTTCTTCCCACCTCAAAGGCGCTGCTAGGATTCAGAGGAAGAAGTTGATGACCAGACAGAATCCTGTGTTTGAATGGAATTTATGTATCATGTATGAAGTGTATGAATATGCAACAGGCTGTTGTTTTTAAGGGCTAATCCTGTTAATGTGTGTCCTTTTTCGGGCTTACGGATGTCCGTAACTCTTTGTCTCTATTATCTCATATTGTCCTAATTCAATTTGTCCAAATTATTATTACTCCAATTGTATTACTATTTTTATAACCATTTTATTACTATTAAACTTTTAAAATTTTAAAAATAAGTAATTGGCGGTTTTCACACATGCACTTTAATTTCTTAACTTACTTGTCCTCTGCTCTTCACTGGAAAACGCCGCCCTCTTTGGATGTGTCCAAAGCGCCCAACGATTACCAACGCCTGCATTTTCCTGGCAGCTTGTGAGGTTCTGAGCCACAGTTTTTTACTTTACTGAGAGCATTCCTTCTCCACACTAAATGAATGTCCAGGTTGTAAAAGGCCACCCAGCTCTGCTGCCCTCAAGGCCCCTGAGGGCACAGGCAGCCATCAAACCTCCCCTCAGGCGGCCATCGGGCATTGTGAGACACAACGCTGTGTTCTTGTCAAGTACACACAGGCAACGTGGGTATTTGTGATTGCCATATGTGTGGAGACCGACCATGGGTATAATTTTAGAATATTGCTTGTATCCTTGAAACTATAGCTTTGGAATATATATTTGGGAAACATGCTTATCTCACACCTTAACAAAACAGAGAAAAGCAGCTTGAGAAATCAAGAGGAACATCAACTCAAGGATTTATAGTTTCGACCAAGGGAAACTGGACATCACTGTTACGAGATTTATAGTCCTAGCAATTAAAAGGTGGACCCACATCTGGGGAGCTGGACTTCACCAGATGGGATTCGTCTTTCTTGTTTTGGAAACTAGACCACCACCATTTGGGGATACTCCTTTTGGGATACATCCTTAGAAAAACTAAAATCACAATAGTGTATAGAATTGTGACATAAAAATTCGGAATAGAAACTGCTGAGAAAGCTTATGAGTACCCCTATAAATACTGTAACCCTCAACTATTGGTGTGCAGTTGGAGGGAAAACTTCCCCCACTGTACTCAGTGCTGTATTGCTCGTACTTTACCATATTAATTAATAAATTGATTGCTGCTTGAATATTTGCCTAGTCAAGCTTCTTATTTATAACAGTATCTTATTTCCCTCAGGAGCCAAAGGTCTCCAGAGGACATCACCGGTTTTACGGTGCAGCTTTTTGAGGGAGGATGTGAATGTTCAGAGTTCTTTACCACCTCCTTTAGGACCGTAAGGTAGTCGGAAAATTATCGCTTCAGGCGCTGAACGAGAAGCAGAGGTTGTGTT